TGTTTGATTAATAATAAAAATAGGCAGCAGCAGGAATATTGTGCACTGTCACTTTAAGAATAGTGCGGCTCTGATATGATTTCTCTTTCGCATGTCTTTTGATTCTCAACTTGTTTGTTTATTACACAAAGGAGGGTTTATAGAAATATTCACTAAACACCGCGCTCTTACACAAATGTGCATGTATTTGAGCATTAAAGCGCTCTCATTAAAATGACATCAGATGTGTGTGCTCTGCTCGTCTCCGAGGCTAAGCGCGCACACACCGAAGCATTCGGTCTCATTCACTCTTTTAAAATATGAATGATTCAAACGAAGGCTACATCAATAAATGATGCGCATCCCATGCTGCAAACGTTACATTACAGCACATGCTTTCAGTCATTTTCACGTGGAACTGAGCGTTGCAGAGCAACAAATGTTTACAACTGGAAAGGGGCGGTATATAATGGTATATAATGCAATAAACATTTATCTCGAGTAATGGTTTTCCGTAATCATTAGAAGCCAAAATCTAAATCGGATTTTCGATTTATTGCACAACCCTACTGAAGACTAGAAAAATAAAATCTGAAATTCAGTTTGCATAAAAAATAAATATTTAAATATATTTAAAAATAAAATTCAAATCTTATAATTCCAAACCTTATATTTATTTTGCAATATTATAGTTTTTATTTATATTCTGAGGGTAAGAGAGTTCTTTAAAACATAAAATACTTTTCAACCCCAAACTTTTAAATGATTGTGGAAAACTGTAAAAAAATGCTGGGTTCCACACATTTAATTTGTGTTAATCTTATTCGTTTTTACAAAATTAAGTGGATTGAACATAGAATAATTAAGTTGTCCCAAATAAACAACAATTGTTGTTTCAGTTCATTTTAAATAAGTAGTTTAAACAAATAGCAAATGTCAATTTTTGAGTGTGTGCGTCCATCGTTAATCAGTTTCTCCAAGGCTAAATTGATGCAGACCTACACCTTTTCATTTTATTTACGCAGGACAACATAATATTAATCGGTCATTCAGCAGGGGCTCATCTGTGTGCCCTCACCTCACTGTTTCTGGCCAGCAATGTAGAAGAGCTCTTCATTGAGACCAACAAACAGAAAGATTTGGTCACTGCCATTAAAGGAATCATCGGTAAATCAGTGCACCACATACTGTATTTAAAACTGTTTACTAGAACTTCTGTCAAGCTGCTTCGACATCTACATTGTAAAAGCACTATAGAAATAAAACATGAGTATAATGTATTTAGATTTTACTTTTTGTATTAAGAATCAGCATGTAGCTGGCATAACAAAGGCTTTGCTTCTTATTATGTTTTTGCTTTTGTAATAGGTCTGAGTGGAGTTTACAGCATAATGGATCATTATAACCATGAGAAAGTGCGGGCTGTTGAATACGTGTCAACTATGCATAAAGCCATGGATGGTGTGGAGAACTTTGATTATTACTCACCAACCTCATTACTCAAGAAAATGAAGGAGGATCAGTTGAAACGGTATAACATTGTTATTATTACTTATTTAACACAATAGTTACACAAACTAAGTTCACACAATGGTTCAAATCCTGTAGAAACAATACATTAATTTGTATTGTATGTATTGCTATAGAAAATCATTTAAATAAGTTCTTATTTTTTGTACAATTTACAACAAAATTAGTTCTCCTGTGAAATTTGAATTCTTTGAGATGTGATGTTTAACAGACCAAGGACATTTTCAGTGTGTGTGTGTGTGTGTGTGTGTGTGTAAGTACTCGCCTCAAAGCAAGAAGGTCGCTGGTACTGTACGAGCCCCACCTGGTTTAGTTGGCATTTTGGTGGAGTTTGCTTGATCTGTCCGTGTTTCCTCCAGGTGCTCAGGTTTCCCCCACTAGTCCAAAGACATGTGCTATAGGTGAATTGGGAAAGCTAAATTGTCAGTAGTGTATGTTCTGGTCCTCCAGGTTGGGGGTTGAGTGTTGGACTAATGGCATAAAAATTAGATGTTAGGTAACACCAACATGCTTAAAATCTACTTAGAAATAAACTGCCCTGGAAGTATGTATGTATGTAATTAGTGGTACCAATATATATATACAGTTAAAGTCAGAATTATTAGCCCCCGTTTATTTTTATCCCCAATTTCTGTTTAACGGAGAGCAGATTTTTTTTCAACATATTTCTAAACATAATAGTTTTCATAACTCATTTCTAATAACTGATTTATTTGATCTTTGCCATGATGACCGTAAATAATATTTGACTAGAGACACTTTCAAGACACTTCCATACAGCTTACAGTGACATTTAAAGGCTTGACTAGGTTAGTTAGGTTAACTAGGCAGGTTAGGGTAATTAGGCAAGTTATTAACAATAGTTTGTGCTGTAAACTATTGAAAAAATATAGCTTAAAATAGGCTTATAATTTTGACATTTAAATGGTGTTTAAAAAATGAAAAACTGCTTTTATTTTAGCCGAAATAAAACAAATAAGACTTTCTCCAGAAGAAAAAATATTATCCGACACACTGTGAAAATTTCCTTGCTCTGTTAAACATCATTTGGGAAATATTTAAAAAGGAAAAAAATTTAAAGGGTGGCTAATAATTCTGACTTCAACTATATAGAATTTTATTATTTATTTTAGTATTACTGGAACAAAAATTATAAGCATTTTTAGAGTAAGTATTATTTTACTTTTATATTTTAAGTATTATTAGATCCCTTGAGAATTTTTTCTGACTGGATACAGAACAAACCAGTGTTGTCCAGTGACTGGCCTAATTAACCTAACTTTCCTAGTTAACCTAATTAAGTTAAGCCCTTATATTGTATAAGCTGATTATATACTATAGTGTAAAAATAGTATCTTGTTTAATAAGTAGTAATAAAATATTATGTACTTTCTTCATGGTAACTAACAAAAGGTCATGACAAAATGAACTAGTTATCAATACTAGTTGTTATTGAGATTATTATGTTTTAAATGTTTTTTTTTATCTTCTCTCTGAATAGCAATTGAGAAATATTTGGAAAAGTATTCAAATTTCACATGAGGGCTAATTATTTAGCCTCATCTGTATCTTTGTTTTAATTTTTTAGATTATGAATGTATTAATGTAATGCAAGAAAAGATCACTAGTATGTGTATATATGTATGATTGTGTGTATGTATGTAGATATATGCATATATATATATATATATATATATATATCTTTTAGTGAGCTACTTCAATGGTCACAGCAGTGCAATTTATTATTGTAGAGTGAACAGTAAACTTTATTATTGCTCTGATTTTCACTCAGGGTTCCTCCAATGGCTTTGTTCCATGGTACCAATGACATCATAGTTCCTGTGGAATCATCCGTGAGGTTCTCTGAGCTCCTCACTTCCCTTTCTATCCGGATGTCTCTGTATCTCATTCCTAAAATGAACCATACTGACATGGTCACTGATCTTATGGCTCCAGACAGGCACTTTTACCACACTGTTTATGGCTGTATTAAACATGAGTACAGTAAATTTCAGACTCATACTGACTGATTGATATTTTCATTAAAGTAATGAAATTAATATAATTTTTCAATGCCATACAGTCACAGTATTTTAGATATAGCATGTCATTTTTCATTTCACTGTAAGTTGACACATTGTGAACTTACACAAGTGCATTTTCTTTTCTACTGAAGAACCGTTTTCAATAACTCCCTATACAAAATGGTAACGTAAAATCATGTTGGATCTGTGCTTGTTAATTTATTGTGGGTAAACATACATATAATTTACCTGTGTAAATAATACAAATAAAATATAAATAATATATTCTAATGTTTTATCATAAGGTTTGTGTTTTACTGTTGTCCTCACTTATGTCATCCACATTTTCCTTGTCATTGTCATTATTTTCAAAGAAATGTTTATTTAAATCATACATACAGCTATAAAAATATAAGACATTTTATTTTATTCTTTAAACTACTGAGGATGTTTCTTCCTAATTTCATGTATGTGTTTTTTTTTTTTAAATAACAAAAAGATGCCAATGTTTTTAGACATGTTATATTCATTTTTAGACCATACAATTGGTTGAAAATGAGACAATAAAATTGGGTGGAATAAACCAGATTTTCACTTACAACAAATAAAAACATTTTTATTCTGCCCACCTTGATTTTATGAAGAAAAAAAATTAATTACATTATTTGTAATTTGGAGGAAATGTCAGCTGTATAAATTTTTTATTTGTTATGAGTTTATTATTGGTTATTAATATTAAATATATTTAGATTTAACTGTAAGGAAACTCCTTAAACCGGGTGAATATGCTTAAATCTTTTATCAGTATATGAAAATAATTTAGCCAAAACAGATGTCAAATGAATTATAGCATAGTTATATTGTCTGTTATTACAGATAAAATGATTAAATATAAACAGATTACAATTCAACACATTTTCCACATTGATTACACCTGTAACATGCACACACGCTAATTCTGCATCATAAATTTTCATTCAAATTTCTTTATCTATATATTACTTACTACAAGAAAATAAAAACAAGACTTGGTATACAAAAACAGCGCAGTGCTTCTACTTTTTTGGTCCATGAAAAAACATTCAAACAAACTTTTAACTGTTGAATTGATCACACTTTTATTGATTTCTTTGAATGTAGATTTTGATTGCTATATATACTGTGTATTTTTAAAATATGTATCTTTAAACCTCATTATCTAAAAATGACTTTGATGAAATGTCTGTGCTGAGCCATAAATCTGTCTAAAATGAAGGTTTTTACAGAGGAATATGTTCCCACTGCATCATTAGGTTTAACCATTATTATGCCATGTTCAAATATGAAATTTAAGTATTTTTTTAGTGTTTTATAAAATATTTTAAATGGGCATCACAGTGGCGCAATGGATAGCACAATCGCCTCACAGCAAGAAGGTTGCTGCCTCGAGCCTCGGCTGGGTCAGTTGGTGTTTCTGTGTGGAGTTTACATGTTCTCCCTGTTGGTTTCCTCCGGGTGCTTACCTCACAAGTCTAAAGACATGCTCTATAGATGAGATGGATAAGCTAAATTGTCCTTAGTGTTTGTGCGAATACGTGTGTGCAACCCGCATAAAACATATGCTGGTTAAGTTGGAGGTTCATTGCGCTGTGGCGACCCCTGATTAATAAAAAGACAACCGAAAATTAAATGAAATGTAATATTTTAAGATTAGTCAGTGTTACAGCAGTTCAGACTTTTTATTTTAATATAGAGCTAGGCTTCTTAATGCCTCAATATGTACACAATTGTCTGGCTAACTTTGGTATTTTTTTAAAAAATTGTCTATTATCAATAAAAATTAAACCTTTAATTTAGATTTTTGGGCAAGAAATGTGGGCAAATTACTGCATATTCAATCATTAAATAATGTCTTGTTTGGATATTTAAACATAACACTGGAAATGTATAATACAAATAGCATATTTGTCGTTGCTACTGTAGGCAAACAACCGAGGGAAATATGCTGATAAATGTGAGTTATTTTCCCCCCGTTCACCTGCAGTGTGCAGGCCACCGGTTTGTTTCAGACCAGCAGGTGTCGCTGTTTCCCGTGTAATGACACTCCACCTCCGGCGAGCTCTGTGTGAAGCAGCGTCTCCCACCACACCGCTCAGATGAAGTAGAGCTGGAGCTGCTGGGACGAGCTCGAGCCTGTGTTGTTTGGGATGTCGAGGATTAAATATGGCCACTAGCTAGCTGGTTTACCACAGCCAGCGATCGCCTAGAAAGCAGTGGCATCAGCCGTAAAATATGGACTTGAAGAGCGCGAGAGGGTCTCTTTAAAGCGGTTCTCAGTGAAGCTTGATCGCATCGGCTGGTCTGGTGAGTTCTCATGGATATGCGGATACACTGGAGACATGCAAAACACACACATACACACAGGCGCGCACACACGCTAGCTTTCTTCCTCCAAAACACAGCTCCGTTATTATATATTTCGACAAACGTAAAGATGGCATTCGGTTTATATAAATGGTTGTCCATGCAGTCCTGCTTGCTGGAAATGAAACGCACAGTTTGGGTTGTGTGTAGCCGGGCGATTAGCCGTGGCTAGGATAGGATAGATAGGTGGACTCCGCTAGCCTGTTAACGTTAGCTGCAGGCGAATAATCATTCATGTGGAGACAATTCACAAATACTCTAGTTTATTGCGAAAGAGCTCGAGTTAATCGTATGCGTGATTATTATGGCTCATTTTGAGGTTATTTAGGCGGTGTCTGGTGAGCTGTAATTGTGTTGTGAGCTCGCACTGTCACTGAGGATATCGCCTCATCCACGACTGTAACGTTACTGGATTTGTTTTTAGCCGCTGTCAGTTTACAAACACGATGATGATATGTCATGTAATATTTTATAATCCGCTTGATATTCGATGTTATTTTCCTCTCTCGTGCTATTATAATTTTCCTGTATATTTACATTGTCATAACGTATGATTTTTTTGTATGCTTATTATAATTTATAATAATGTATATTCACAAAATGCGTATATTGTCTTTAACCTTTACGTTTTGTTTACTTTTACTGGTTTAATTTTTGTCAACTGTATGTACTGTACAGAGTTTACTTTGGCTGACAATATACCCCAGATGTCCATACTCCATCCATTCCATCCATCTGCCTGTCTGTCTGTATGTCTGTATGTTTGACTGTGTCTGTACTTCAATTTCCCTCAGTATCTGAGCATTTAAGTGTTATGGATGTGACATTTGCAGCAAAAACCTGAAACATGTATTCACAGAGAATTTAATACTATAGTGAAACATCTGTTTATAGGTCCCAAAAAAAAAAAAACTAACCACTAGGCATGGGCCGGTATAAGATTCTGACGGTATGATAACCTTTTATAAAAATATCACGGTTGGATGGTATTGTGGTTACTGCTCTAAAATATATTCTATTTAAATGTTTGGGTAAAAAACTAAAACTTTCCCCCCTTTGAACACAATATAGTTTATTTTGAGAAATATTTAAAGTATTTTGGAGCAGTAATCATGTCAGGTTAAATAATTTAAATGAATCATTGACCTCTGCTGTCTTCTTTAGTTTCAAAAACACAGATTTCTTTACCATTTAAAACAGCATTTTTTGGATATCTTTTCTGCTGAAGATACTGTTGTTCTAAAAAACAAACAAAAAAGAAAAACGTACATGAAAATCCTTACATATACCGTAGGAAAGGTATAGCAAAAAAAATTGGTGGTTTTAAAACCTTGACTATTTCAAAACCGTGGTATACCTTTAAAATGGTTATCGTCCCATGCCTACTAACCACAGAGTTAAGGAAGCAGAAAAATATCAATCTGTAAACATATTTTAAATGAGGGTAATGAACATGCATTATGGATGTGACCAAAGAATTCACAGTATACAACACACTTTGTAAAATTTCTGTGAAATAAACTTCACAACCCAAAAGATCTTATGTTAATTAAAAGGATAAGAGTTCAAGGTTTCTTCTATTGCGGGGCGCCACACCAATATTCATTCCGCCAGTGCTACATTACAGCTTCTCATTCAAAACATTCAGTTCTATTTATTATTTTTTTTTGGTTGTTTTATAGAAAACACAATGTATAGCTTTCAGTTAGGATAAACAGAGTTTCCGTAATTATACTCAAAATATAAAGGTCTATGATTCTGTATGCAATAAACAAAGGATTTATCTTGCTGGAGTTTATAGCTGTTTCACTTTACTTCAAGATGCATTAATGCCGCTCTATGAGTCTATTGGTGACATAATAGCATCCTAGCAAACATAAATAATCCTAGCAAATCTAATAAATGTTGAAGACATACTCACTACATAAATGCACTAAATCGCACTTCAGCAGCGTTTATATGGAGAGCGCACAAGAAGATCTGCACTTGCACAGTGAATATTTAAAGACGTCCTAGAAGTTTTGTGCATGAACAGAGGAAATTGGTGCGCAAGCAAAGAGATTGGCATGCTTGTATTACATGAATTCGATTTCAACTTGTAATACTGTGCTCACGACATTTGTCATTGAAATAACGCCATAGGTAGTTGGTGGATCTGTGTAAAAGGATTGCCGCCACAGCTGAAAAAAACCTAGAGGAAACACTTGAGTTAGCGCTCTTTAAAGCAAACCTTATTTGTTTGATGTAATATGAAATGGTCACTTGTGTGTAGGCAATGGACCGGTATAAGATTCTGACAGTTTGATAACCCTGGATAAAAATATGGTAGCACAGTATTGTGATTACTGCTCTAAAGATGTTTTATTTATGTCTGTGTGAAAAACATTTTTCCCCCATTGAACACAATATATTTTAAGAAACATGTAAAATATTTTTGAGCAGTAAACATGTCAGGCTAAATAATTCAAATAAATCATTTATCATTTACTTATCCACAGAATTTGTCAAATGTGTAAATATTTAGTTGCGGTTCGCGCTTTTGCCTTTGGATGTCTCTGGGAGAAAAGCACCTGCATGAATGCTAAAGCTTTAAACAATAGTGAAACCATCAACAAAAGCCAGACCCCTTCTGTGTTTACAAATTGAGCTCATTTCTTGTTAATGATGTCAGAATTTACCGGTATTTTGCCGGATGTGTGAATGCTCTTTTCCCCAAAAAATCTGGAACGTCCTCGCCTGTATGAACAGAGCTTTTTTAATCATGCCCAAAACTCAAAAAAAAAAAAAAAAATGTTTAAAGACATTGAAAGAGACATTTTTGAGTATTTGAATTAGGCATGGACCAGTATAAGATTCTGATGGTATGATAACCTTGGTTTAAATTATCACTGTTACACGGTATCACGGTATTGTGATCACTGCTAAAATATATTCTTTTAAAATGTCTGGTTAATAACTAAAACCTTTTCCCCCTTTGAAAACAATTTATTCTATTTTTTGAAAGATTTATAATATTTTGGAACAGTAAACCTGTCAGGCAAAATAATTCAAATGAATAATTGACTTCTGCTGTTTTTATTTGTTTCAAAAACACAGATTTCTTTACAATTTAAAATGGTATCTTTGGAGATCTTTTTTGCTGAAGACACTGTTGTCCTAAAAACAAACAAAAAATGTGAATAAAAACTCTTGCACATACCTTTGGAAAGGTATTACAGAAAATGTTGGTGGTTTTAAAACCTTGACTTCTCCAAACCGCAGTATACCTTGAAAACGGTTATGGTCCCTTGCCTATTTTGTACATACTGTAAAATGCAAGCCTACACAAACAACTTTAAAATGGTTTCTCTATTTTAGTAAAAACTATTTCTTTCATGGCGAGGTTGAAATGCATGGAATTGCTCATCTGTCTATCTGTCTGTTTATCTTTCTGTATATCTGTCTAAATGGGTTTGAACGTGTGTGTATCTAAACCCCAATTTAAATCTATATTTTTTAATGTGCGTGTGCGTGTTTTTCCCTATGTATATCTCTCTGTTTGTGTTTATCTACTGGCTATGTATCTATCTGCATGAATTTGTTTGTATGTATGTATGGCAATACCCCAATTCCCCCCATTTTCTGTCTATCTCTCTATCTGTCTGTCTGAATCTGATGTTTGAATGTATGTTGGATTTCCCTCTGCGAATGACTGTCTGTCTGTATTATTAGACCTGTAGTGAATAATATCACTGTACACTCACATACACATTCATTAAGGCTGAAGCTAATCTCAGTAATGTCATAAGTTGTGATTTGAAGGCCGTGGTGATTGATTGGGACACAGTGTGATGGTGAGGTATTGGGCAGCTGTGTTAGGTGAGGGGTCATGGACTCACTAGCAGCTGTGTGTGGTATCGACACCTCCCGGCTACTCATTTACATGCCATTTCATTTGTATTGCGTGCCTTTGTTATTCCATACAGAACTATGAATACAATTAGAGACAGGCTATGATTGTGGTTTCATTATATCAACAACCCAATCGTTTGTATTGTGCAAGTCATTGAACCTGCTTTTCTTCCAGAGTCATCATAATATTGGCTTGAGGCCATATCAGTCACACATCACCTAAACTGCACACATTTGGATGCTATAAACCTTGTATGTCCATTATTAAAACTTGTTTGGCTTACAGGATTTGTAGTTCAAGCTTTTTGTTTTTAAATTAATGATATTTTGTTCTGTTGCTGTGCTTTTAGATGAGGTAATTTAGGTTATTGTACAATGTTACAGTACATTCAGTCCATGCCATTTAGAAAGTATGGATCTTAAGTATAAAGCACATTTGATGTAACAATATTGCAATTGTTATGATATCGAGTAACACAATTAAACTGTTTATTTTCATATAAAATGTTGTTTTATTGTAATTGATCCATTTTATATTCATTTCGGCCTCAGTTTAAATAGTCAAATATGATTTTGTTTACATAGTCCATTAAATGCACTGCGTGAAAAATTATCTGATCAGTGAGTCTTGAGAAATAAATGTTTTTATGTTGCTTTAGCTTAAAATAATTTAAAATGTTTCAACTGAATTTCTTTTTTATGATTTATTAGATTTACTTAAAGGGCACCTAAGATGAAATCAACAAAGCTCATCATTTCAGAAAGGCTTGAATAAACGCCACCACAAATACATCAAACGAACTTACTTGGTATTTTTGACTAATGAGCTGTATTTCAGATTCATCTGAGGCTGTCTCTGTTGCTGTGCTGTTTAACTGATGTAACGCATGATGACAAGCACGCACATGGGAACGGTGGGTTGGGAGAAGCATAAACATTTAAAGTCACAGGCTACAAAAACATCTACAATGTATCCAGACACCAAAATGGGCATATTCCGGAGGCTATAATATATAATCTAATGGGTATTTTGAGCTGAAACTTTACAG